TATGTTTGTAAACCACACTCAAGGGACATTTATAACTGTGTTTGCCTTGGTAGAAATACTTGAGACTTGTGAAAAAAACTTTTATTGCATTCCATTAACAGATTGACTGTGAGAGAAAGGCATGTGAGATATGTTTATCTCTCATGGTGCACTCAGTGGCACCATATATGATCTCTTTATGCAAATAATTTTCAAAAGGGTTTCTTTTATTAAAATTTTGTATAAACATTTTATGCACCATCTAACGACATAAAACTTTCAGAAAATATTCTTTCAATAATTACATCGATACCGATGAATCACAATTTTTCCTCCAATGTCATTTTCAGATTAGAAATGAGAGAAACCTAATTCATCATATGCTTTGGTATGGGATAGGGAAAGCGACCATCTGGTTCAGAATTTAAGGGCAGGAACTGCATAAAATCCCCATTCCTGTACACAGTCTGGCTCCCAAGGGGATATCCCTATTCCACACCTATGCATATCACGAGTTTTCTTAGTCATATGTATATACATGTTTTGTACTTTCCCGTACAACAAGACCTGACCCTTGAATTACGATTTACTATCTATTCATATTGACGCCGATGTTTTGCAATGTCACTGAAGAAAAACACTCCCTTACGGTTTAAAAAGTGAACTCATAATCTATAGTATACATCCGAAATCAGCATAACTAGTTAATATGCGTGTATGATGATAGTTATGGTTTGTGTTTCTTGTATTAATATATATTTCCATCAACTATTGCAGCAACAACAGGCAAAATGAGTACACAGGCATGTATCCCATTTTAAATTCGAGATCACTGAAAATTGATATCGCGTCAAAACGCGCTATGGTCACCACGTTAGTTACGACTGCAGGATTGTGGGATTCTCACATACACTGTCGAGAGTCATGCAGCTTTAAAATTCCAATTATGGACATATAACGCAACTTACCAGTAGTTTCTGCTACTTTAGGCAACCAAATCTAAAAAAATATTGTTTATCTGAGATAAAATTCTTATTAAATTATTGTGTTGATGTCGTTTTGTCCGTGATTTCATTTGGTTTATTTTAAGATGCACGGAATTGTAGCAAATATATTTGTATGATATTGATTGTGTGGATTTGTTTGAAACTATTCCATAGTTAAAATTGTTTCATACACGATTATATCAAGCTGATTAATTGATCGGCAGTGAAGAAAATTTTTAAAACACGAAAGCTCATTCTAAACTGTGAGTCATGTTCTAGTGTAAATAAAATTATCGTCAGCTTGGGATGTCACAAGAGAAGAGGATCGAATGGTCCGACACCGACTAATACAAAACATATACCATAGTTATGCAGAATGTTGGCCGGCATCTGGATACCCTGGCACATGGAAAGGGTGCTTTTGACTTTAAAAAGTTTTCTTACATCCCCCTCCCGTCCCTTGAGGTAGATGTGGGATATCAATCTCTCATAGTCTTGTAAAGGTTATCAGTAGTTGTATGTTAAACATTAAACACGCACAACCATTTCTATGCTCAAGCTGAATTGATAGCAACGGTCTTAAGATGGGAATTGGGAACTTATTTAATTCAAGCCCCACATGGAAAATTGAATGAATGCTGAATGATCTTGCATACAATTTAGAGATAGACAGAAATTAAAAAAACATACTATTAACATAGTTAATAACCTGCTTGCTCGTCCTTTAATTCTATGCGTATTTTGGTTTTCTTGAATTACCTGTATTCGTCACGGAGCACGCACGGCTTTGTATATGTAGTTATTGACTGGTATTGATAACTGATTACTACAAAATAAATCAATTTTGAAACGGAGTTGATATGTGCGTGTGGCCTTCATAACGCATTTATATATATATATATATATATATATATATATATATATATATATATATATATATATATATATATATATATATATATATATATATATATATATATATATATGCCATAAGAACATATTCCATCTGTCGGTTCTCTGTTACATCTATTCTGAGTTCTCCACGATCTGCAGCTACTATATTTGGTGGACAGCTTGTACTTTGGATAAGGAATTTTGTTCTTTCGATTTCGGGATGGATAGGAAAAAGGTCAAGGTCAATGTGGCTGAAAGAAGAAGGTTTTTCTGCACGATAACTTGAGTGATTCCAGACCTTTTAATAACTTGAGCTTGGATTGAGAAAGAATACTGTGGAGTTCGGGCTCAAAAGGTCAAGGTCATTGTGACAGAAGAAAAATGGTTTCTTTATAAAAATGATTTGTCCTGTATCAACCAGACTTTGTGGATGGCTGGCACTTAAGGTATGGATGAAACCTATCTTGTAGTTTTTGACATAACAGCAACACCAGATAAAGTTATAAATGTTTTATCTGTATTAAACATTACCTTTGAGTGCGAAATACTTTTTTTTAATATAGGACAACATCAACATTACATTTCTTTTTAGACGTATTGGTTCTGCAAACAAATGATGAAACGTAACGTTTGCACAGTGTACTCTAGTGAAAAGGTGTAATGTTTGGTATACAGAGAATACAGTAGTATTAGAGAGTCGCTAGTATTATAGTATTATATCAATGTTACCAGACAAAACGTTAGTGGTCGTATATGCGTCTGTCTTTTGATGAATCTCCACCGCCGTATTTTTCATTCTTGCAACATTTTTAACACAAACGGTTATATTGTTTTCACTAAGGCTATTTTGTTTGTTACCATCACAGTCGAAAAAGTGGTATCTATGTCTCGAGATACTGACACATGTTTAATATATGACACGACGAAAATTTTTCTGACGGTGACATGAATGATGTTATAGTGTTTTAAGGTTGTTTAAGTTTTAAAAATTCCATGCATATTTATATAGCTTTGTTTTAAATCATTTATATACCACATTTATGGCTTCCGTTATTACTGGAGTGTCTCATTATAATGCAAATGGAAATCATTCTGCGACACATTCATTCACCTCTTTGATCTCGATGTCAAGGCCACACAGAATATTTACATTAATCTTTCTTTCAGTTTTGCATTAGTTGGTGTTTCACTACGTTCCTGATATATTCTGTTGATGAAAACAAGCACTTTTCACTGACGCAGTCACTTAAAGGACTAGTTTTACAGGTAAAGGTAAACTAATGGAGCCAAACAGCAGTTATTGCATCATATTGTAGTCACGATATAAATCATTCATATATTTTGTAACCCTTTTGTCATCAATCAGGAGATTTGTCGTAATGACATTTTCTTCCTCGTCCGTATGTACTTTAGCACAGTTTCTTTTATAGCTAGTCATCCTTAGCTACTTGAAGGATTACAATGAACATTTACACACAAACATTTTACGATGTCGATGGTCCTAATTGGAAATGATGAGTATGGACATCAAATATGACAGATACAGTGGCCATACTGAAACACTTATTGTCGCAACTATTCTAAACTAATGATTATATCGGCATGAAGGTTTCATTAGAAGGCTTATTATGATGTTTAGTTTGTTCTGGATGAAAACTGTTCCGATAGTACCTCCAATATACCTAACACAGCTCTCGTCTTGAACATCATAACCCCTTCTGAATTGATTTTCATATCGACATGGGGGTTTCAACCAAAGACTTCTGTGATGTCTAATGCATCCCAAATGACAATGATTGCTATCAAGAAAGTTTTGTTATCGCTTAACAATGTCAGGGATAATTTCATCACTCAGCATTATAAGGAAGGAATTGTATTAATTTTGATAATTTGGAGTTTCTATAAGCAAGTAGAGAGTCAATCCCTGTTAGGGAATCTAGTTTCTCTAAATTTTAGAGAATTGCCAAGCAGTCATAAATGACAATTGCTTTCAATAAAAAACAGTAGTAAAGCCTTAACAGAAAATAAATTGTTTATTGCTTTCAGTCTTTGGACTTTGCGTACGATGACAAACAAAACAAGTGTGATTTGGCAAGTTTCGAAAAGGTCATTTGCGTTAACAGTTCCAGTCATTTCTTTAAAAAATTTAACTCTTATCAGTCAATGCAACAAAACCTATTTTAATATTTGGATATGTTACATCCAGATTTAGTGTGATAGTTCAGATGCCTCGTAACCAGTGTACTGAATTACAGTAAAAACGTAGAAACATGAAAATAAGGAACATGTAACTTAATTAGATTAATGTAGAAGTGGACTTTAAATACTAGTGGATTCGAACAACAGTAGGTTTACAATAATTCTTTGAGTGCGGCTTTTATAAAGAGGAAATGAACTTCTTGTACAAATTGCAACCAAAGCACGTTTTAGACGACTACTGTTACATGTTCTTTTATAGGCTTTCACTTGAAAGAAACAAACCCCAAAAAAACAAAAAAAAAACGGCTATTCGTTTATCGAGCGTGCTACGGCAACCTTTCTTATGCACACCATCATTTCCGGAATTCTGAAAGCAATGTTAATGTAGTCTTCACACAAAGACCGTATATTGATGTACAATCGCCTATTGTGTGGCATCTAATGGTTTTCATTATGCAGGACTTTCTAATTATGGAACATGATCTTTTATGTTTTGTTGTTATTTTCGTGCAGTACTTGCTCGAAGAGATGGTATAATCTCAGGGATACCACGATTAAGTGGCAAATACACTTGTAAGATAGAAACTATCTAAGTCTACCAAAGGCACTGGAAGTCGGATTTTTTCCCGGTTCAGTAACTATCCTTGAATGAGCGTGTGTGTGTGTTTTTTGTGGTGTGTGTGTGTGTGTGTGTGTGTGTGTGTGTGTGTGATTTGGACTTTTAACGTAGCTTTGACAACTTTTTAGTCATATTGCTACGATGTCTGCAGTGTGGCAGTTTATAGTGATATCTAGCAATGGGGCATCATGCGACAGACATGTATCATCATGTACCACCCAGTCACATTATCCTGACACCAGACCGACCAGTTTAACAATAACCTATTAATGCTGAGCGTCTAGCGAGGCAGCTGTTAGTACCATTTTTAATAGTCGTTGGTATGACTTAGCCGGGGTTTGAACCCGCGACATCCCGCATCCGAGGCGGACGCTCTAACCACTAGGCCACTGGAGCGGTCTCTATCCTTGGATGAAAGAAAAACTATACATTAGTTATGAAAAATTTTAAACTGAGAGAATAAAATATGTTACGGTACACAATGGCAGACATCAATTTGGTTGCATGTCATACTTACGAGACCAGTCATGCGGAGCTCTTTATCACTAATGAATTCCTATCAAGCCCCTCCTTGCTCTCTGGTTGGCCGGAATGTGCTCAGGCTTCACGATTCAATAAGATGACGATACCAATTTCACCTAAGAAAATCTAGTGCGAGTTACAATTTTATGCTCCAAAAATGCAAATTGATTACCTTCTGCTCTCTGTTTTTAAAAGCATTTTGTACGAACAACTAAGAAAATTTAACGGCAGATTATTTGTAAATCGTGCCATATTCCTGCACATTGCCATAACGCGTCTGATAAGTTCGTGACAGTACAAAACTTCCGAAATGACTCCGGAGAAAAACATAAAGAAGTTTGATACGATTACTTCATTAACTGAACACGGGTTGAAAAACAGCGGTTGCTAGGTCAGCTACTTTGCTCTAAAGTATAGACACATAAGGCGCCGTTGTACAGTTTTCAGCTGAATTCTAAACAAGTGTCAGTTTGCATGAAGTGTGATTCAACCTTAGCCGCTTAAATAATCATCATTTTAAGTGACATTTTTAGTGGATACTTATTAACTCATTCGACAGATAAATTTACAATTTACTTATTTTCGCAAACTTTCCTTTTTCAGTCGTCTCAGTCATGGTGTCCATGCATTAGGAACTACTTTTAGAAATAAGAAACCATTGTTGCCTTTTGCTGTTATAAAATTATACAACAACGAAAACAACAAATATTTAACAAAATGAAATTCAGTTCAAAAGCAACTTAATGTCTCTCCAACATTGATAGCACACCATACGAAACATTTTCACACACACACATGCACGCACACACACAAACACAAACACACACACACAAACACACACATACACACGCGCTGGTTGGTTTTGTTTCTTTCTGTTACTTAATTAACAGTATAAATGCTGTTCGTCTTTCGAGTTCGAAGATGACTATAATATAACTAACTGGTTCAATTTCTTTAAGTACGCGAGTAGTTGATCAGGCCAATTTGTGCTCTGAACTGCTTATGGCACATTTGACATACAAGTTGCTTGATCAACAAATGACGCGTTGCAGTTCAGATAGTTACGTTGTTTGTGTTTGTGCACTGCCTCTGCAATTCTCCTCATTGTAGAATATGTAGATCCAATATCCATGAGACTGTTACGGGTTGAGTGATTCTGTGTGAGATCTTTCCAGGATCCTGTGTGAGATCTTTCCAGGATCCTGTGTGAGATCTTTCCAGGACTGTATTTTCTCACCGAACAACGTAATACAATATTCTTACAAGTTTTGTACTTTGAAATAGATTGTGATAAAATTGGACAGTTTGACAAACTATGCTGTCCTTGTCACTTACGTCACGTGATAATTAAGTAGAGATTTCTCCATGTACCTTGCTTACATATTTGTAACATATAGTTGATATACTTCAGTAAGTGATAACTAAAAATATCGTGACATATGAAGCATATGTGATTTACGTAAGCATGGAATAACTAAAGATTTAATGCTTTATCTGAAGGAGTACTAAGGATATCATAAAATATTTCTTTTGTATGTAACTTTAATACACGATATTGTATGTAACTTTAGTACACGATAATTAAGTATATTATCATGACCCATCTGTAGGATATGTGAGTTAAATACTTGATAACTAAAGATATCATGACCTTTCTGTAGGATTTGTAACTTAAGTACGTGATAACTAAATATATCGTTATCTATATGTAATGCATGTGACTTGAGTACATGATAACTAAATATATCATGACATAGCTGTATGACATGTGACTTAAGTACGTGATAACCAAAGATATCATAAAATATGTTTACATGTTTGTTAAAATGAATTCTACCAGTTCCACTTAAATATTAAATTGAGGTTTGTTTCTTTTTTTTTGAGGAACTAAGTTTTTATTTTAATACTTTCGATTTTTGTAGATCAAACCAGCATGTACATCTTTACTGAGTCAAATAGGCCCCAAAGTGTATCCAATATAACTTCATAATTTATCTTATTGAATTGTGTTTCAACATTTGATTTCTGAAAGGCCTTCTAAGAAGCATGAGTGTAGGTTTTGGTGCCATTACTTGCTTGTGTTGTCTTTAACTGTGTCATAGACAATTTGGAGAATGGAAGGCTAGAACACTTATTAACCAAGGGCAGTTATGTTATCTGTGGTGTAGCAACTTCCCAAAATATAAATGAAACAACATTTGTTTGGCCAAGATGGACCCTCATAAGTACGTTTTGTTGTTGATGGGACCGAGTGAAGACTTTCTTGTTATGCCACTGTCTAGAAAAGGAAATGCTACATTTAAAATTCTCTTGGCATCTCTAAAATTTAATAAGTGTGACTTTCAACAATATAAAGTTGGCATGACATAATATTTATTTCTCTGGGTGACATTTTGGAGTGCCCCATACTTTCTAGGAATATTAATATAGAGATGTGGATTTTACAAGGATACTCATTCAATTTTCATTGACATCTTTTCTTTGGTTCTGATTCATTTTTGCTTGTAGAATTACCTATAATTAATTGCTCTACAGTTTATGAGAACTACTGCGACAGACGATATAATTGGAGCCCGGGGATGAAGAGTTTCTATCAGAAGGGCTGAAAGATCAACGCAGATGTGCTGTGAAACTTTCGGAAGGAGATAGCATATATGATGTAAATCATAATACAGAGGTTTACATAATATTTGTCTCTCGTCTGGCTAAGATTTGTTTTACTGTATAGCAAAAAATGTGTCAGTCCTGATATTTTGACTTTTTCCTCGAAGAAGTATGGCATATATTTTACTACTTTGAACATAATATATCTGTTCAGATACGTGCAAGACTCGGTTCTAAACTTTTTCATTTCAGGCGTTACTCCATATTACTCTGGTACAGTACCCTAATGAATCATTATGTACCTAACTCTATTCATTTAGATATGTGTTCACACATTGTAGGCCAGACCGATTCAATCTTTAAATGTTTGCAGACCTTGTGGATTTAAGGGATATTCATAAAATCCTTGCGGGTGCAATATCGCCAAGATTTAAATATACATAATCATCACTCCTGCATTGCTGCAAGTCACACACACACACACACACACACACACACACACACACACACACACACACACACACACACACACACACACACGCGCGTATATTGTATGTTCAATCAATACAAAAAGGCAGTTTTTCTCCCTTAACGCAATTCATTTTAACCAATAGGTTTGAATTACTTTCTAGAAAGTGTATGTAGAAATAATGGTTGAATCGATGATTCAACAGGTGATCGCTGGTTGAGCGGGGATAAAGTTCAGATAACATTTCTTTTAATATTTTCGTTTTGTTAATCGTTTTGGCTTTGATATGGGTTCGATTTTTATTGAATCCCAATTCTTTGTTAAGGTGAGGTTTGGGAATTTCTACATGAGTTATCCTTGGGGTATATTTCTGTGTTCTTAATGAAATTCAGCCTCCATCCAGATTGTTCAGTCTTAACTCTGGGACAGGATCAACAGTTGTAATGCTGGAGTCGAAAAGCCACCTTTTAAGATCCGTGAGTTTATTTAGAGTTATTTTACTTTGATTCTTCTTAAGTTTCAGACTATTATTAATATATCCATATTTTTCCGGACATGTCAACAGACAACCGAATAACAATTTTCTTGAAAATATGCTTTCTGAAAAAATCTTGATTTTCGATCACTAGCATAATATTGTTTTCTACATTTGGTAAGTAATTAACGGAAGTGTGGGTTTCGTTTTCACGTATTGAGACTAGGTTTTATTCGCATGAATGTTGTTTTCATAAATATCCGAGAAAACAACACTTATATCAAGATATACATTGCATCGATCATTTGAACTACAGTCAAAGCACTCTATTATACCGACTTTGACATTGTTCTAGACAACAGCACGAACATTTATGAGCCAGACAAAACGATCATGAAAAATACTTGCTTCAAGAGCACATAAATTACCGTTAATGGAAACAAGTCCTCGATGTTGGCTGGGAATAATACAACCTAAGAATGTAAGTCCTTTTCTACTGCATACCAACGCATTATTTTGTAAATGTACTTTGAGAGTTTCCTTTGTCAGGAATTTTTGTTCATTATAGTACTGTTACACTGTTATCATCATAGGCTCATTAAACTTAAGTAAAGTGGATATGAGATAAAGCCAATTAAATTAATTTTATGCAAAACGAACTTTAAATTCATTTATCTCCCTCGTTTCTTATGCTGTCCTTTAGAAGTTCATTTACAATGCAGCAATAATGGTAGGAAACATGACGCTAAGGATTAATGAATTAGGATTAACTGGGATCTAGATAATTTAAAGTTGGATCTATCATTTTCGACACAGCTTTCAATCACATGGTTACACTCCCGTGTTGTTGAGAAGGAAAATCAATAGTTCAGGCATTAACATTGTCGCCTTGCCTAGTTCAGCAACCAGTAATAGATCTCTATGATCGTTATCATCCGGATCTAATACATCTCCCGCCTCTTGCCAATGTATTTTCTGGCTATATATCCATTTTAGGCAACACAGAAATCATTATTGCACTTTGATTTACCCTTATCAGATGGATTATGCCTAATACTTTGATTGATTAGTACTGAAACATTTAATCATATATTGTTCTTAAGAACGGGCATCCTCACATTTCACGAATTTTCATTATTTTTCACGTAAAGTTTGATGATTGCTTTTATGTCGATGAATTTATTTTTAATATATTTTACAGAATACATCATTTCGCAGTATCGTTTCTAATTTATCATTTTTGAGTCATCGTTAACTCTTTTAACATACATGTAAAAACTTTTGTATTTCCCTTATTTCTGACCTCGACTTTAATGTATCACGTGGCTTT